CTAAGTGAGATGGAGATCGGCATGGTGGTCGGTGGGCCCGAGGCGACGGCGGCGGCCACCGGGGGCTACGGGCCGGTGAGCGGCGCGGTGAGCGGGGCCAAGCCGGGTAAGAAGACTCGGGGCCGCGTGAAGATCAAGATGGAGTTCATCGACAACAAGCTGCGGCGCTATACGACCTTCAGCAAGAGGAAGACGGGCATCATGAAGAAGGTACCGGATCGGGAGGCTGGCCGGCCACGGGGAACAGGGAGGGTGGGGACGCGCTGGGACAGCCCGGGAGGAAGGCAGAACCAAGACGGAGGTGAGAGGCGGCGAGTCCGAGTCCGAAGGAGGTGTGTAGGAGGGGATGGCTATTAGCCCGGCAGGGTATAAGGGGAGGGGCCGCCAGGGAAATGTGGGTCGAGGGGAGTAGCGGCGACCGTCCGGAGGAGAGGGGAAAGGCGCCAAGGTGGGAGTGACGGACGCGAGAGAGGAACAGGGCCCTCGAGGAGTGAAGGGGTGAGGAGTGGTAATGGGAGGCTGCTGGGAGGTGTTTAAGGAAACCCAGGGATCAGTAGGTCCAGTGCGCTGGTGTTTGGGGAAGGGCGACCAAAAATTAGGGAGCAGAAGAGAAGGTATGTAGGTGAGGAAGCTGGGGCGGTATAACAACAATGAGGGAGGCATGTGTAGGAGGAAGGTGGGCACCTCAGAAGTAGTACTGGCTGGAAGGACAGGCAGCACTGATGATGGAATGGGGCTCAGGAGCTCCAGGTAAGGGAGCAAGGCAGGAGAACTGATGCTGCCCTGAACTGCAGGGACCAAACCAAGTCCTTCGATGGCCATGTGTCTTCCATGCATCCACTGGAAGCCTGCACACTCCCTGTAGGACAGGTTTCAGAATCATGTGTCTTTCAGAAAAGTGGGATTTCCAGCCCTCGGGAGAATCTGTGTGTGGAGTTTGGTGGGAAGGCAGGGAGGTTTGCAGATGTACCTAGAAAATCCTTTTCTTCTATCGGATTATCCAGTGAAAAGGGGTGAGGAAAGGAGTTGTCTTGGAGTGTAGAAGATATGGGACAGGATGGAAGCAGAGGAACTGGGAAACAAGAAGCTAGAATCCTGGAAACATTGGCTGGGGTTTATATCTGTCCCATATAAAAGTCGGAGCTGCTTCTAAGGTGGGTTTGTGGAACTTTGCTGGAAATTAAGATACCACCTATGGGGCCATCTTTGAAGGGCCCCTTCCTGGGCTCATGGCAGGGTAGTAGCTGTTAATCTAGCCCCCATCTCCCATCACTCCAGACACTGTTGTATCAAGACAAGGGAAGAAAGAAAAAAAAAGGTAGCACAGTATTACAGGGCAGAGGACAAATGGCAACTCTGAACATTATCCCTAATGTCTTATGTGACTTCTAGTACAGTTACGAGCTCATCCTCATCCTTGTGACAGTGAGGAGGCACCAAGCTGCAGTGAGGAACAGCTACCTGGGCCCCTCTTTGTCCACTGAGGTTATATGTTCTGTCATGAGGGGTTTGTAACTGTTTGCTTGGGGTATCTGCAGGTCAGTAGGGCTGCTCCTCAGAGAAGGGGCATGGGGTTTTTCTACTCTCTGGCTCACCTTCAGATATTCTGATAGGACCTCCCCTTAGAGTCACTGGAGAGGAAGGTCATTATGGGAGTGGGGGCTTGAGATCACTGTATACTACCTTTTTCCTACTTCCCAAGGCAGGTAGAGATAAAAAGTTTTGCTGACTTACCCATCTCCTCCCCCTTATCCCCAGGCCTATGAGCTGTCCACGCTGACAGGGACACAGGTGCTGTTGCTGGTGGCCAGTGAGACAGGCCATGTGTATACCTTTGCCACTCGAAAACTGCAGCCCATGATCACCAGTGAGACTGGCAAGGCACTGATTCAGACCTGCCTCAACTCACCAGACTCTCCACCCCGCTCAGACCCCACCACAGACCAGAGAATGAGTGCCACTGGCTTTGAAGAGACAGACCTCACCTACCAGGTGTCTGAGTCCGACAGCAGTGGGGAGACCAAGGTGTGTTTGGGTCCCCTATCTGAGGGAAAGGAAGGGGAGGGACTTGACCGGCAGAGAGGGGAGGGGGTCCCTCTCACTGCCTCACCAAGGACTGGTGGTAGGTACCCACTGATGTGGAGTGGGGCCGGGTTAGTGACCCTCATCCTAGGGGACAGGTGTCCATCCTCGCTACCCTGACAGGAGGCCGGCCCACTAGATAAGCGGGCGGCCTCCGTGCCCATATAAGGCCCGCTCCGGCTCCACGCCGGCCTCCCGCCTGAAGCCCGCCTGCCTGGCAGGGCCCTTGCATTCCTCCCGCCAGCTGTCTCCCGCTAGGGGTGGGGGCGTAGCTTAGCCCTGCCCTCCCGGCAGGCCCGGTCACTGGGGAGTAGGAAGTGAGCTCTCTTGGGTTCCAGGGTCCTGGGAACCCAGCACGGTCTGCAGGTGGGCTGGCTGACTAGGCTGCAGACTACCTTACTAGCCAGCCACCTACCTCTTCAGGATGTCCGGACCTGGGAACGTTAGGGAGTGTATTCCCGGCTGCTAGGGATGCCGGCCCTAGTTACACCTCCCCCTTCCTTTTCCCGGTAAGGAGAAGGGGCGGGGCTTCCTTCCTAGTTCCTCTGGGGAACTCCACCTTCCGGGTGGCCCTTCACTAACTGACCAATTGGAAGAAGCGGCACTGTTTGCCTTAGCAACGCCTCCACCAATCAGGGGCTTTGAGCTCGTCTGATTAGCAAACATCCCGCGCTGACCAACCCCCGGTATTTGAGCCCCTTCAGTTCTCTGGTCTTGGCTCTCAGCTCCTGGCTTCCTCTTTCCCCTTCTAAAAACAAAGGGTCCCTGAGGGCAATGTCAATGTTCTAGACCCGCCCCCCCTCACTTAGTAGCATCTTTAATAATTTTCAAACTCTTAGCTCGCTTATTCCCAGAAAATTTTGCTGGATGAATAAATTCTTTTGGTAATTTAAATCTTAAGTATTTGTCATAAAGTGCCAACCCCCTAAGATCTCTCTCAAACCCCAAGTTACCTGAAAAACTCTCGGTCCCATCTCAGAAGCCTGGCAAATCTGAGCTGGCAGGACCCTTTTAAAGAGGGCACGGTAGCCCAGCCCCCGCATATTACAGAAGAGGAAAACTGAGGTTCAGAAAGAATAAGTAATTTTCCAAGGGTCATACAAATGGTCATTGGCAAACCTGGGGACAGACGCTGTGTGTCCGATTCTCCAGCCAATGTGATGGTCACGGTCCACTGGTGCAGAGAACTCAGGGAATTATGATAGTCACATCATCACCAGGCACTGTTCTAAGTTCTTCATGTATGTTAACCTCTTTATTCTTTACAACACCTATGGGGTAGGTATTATCCTCCTTTTACAGACAGAAAACTGGAGCTTAGCAGCTCAGTAACTTGCCAAGGGCAAGGCAGCAGGTAAATAGAGAGCTGGGATTTGAACCCAAGCACACTGGTTCTAGTCTGGGCTGTCAGTCTACATTAAACTTCTGCAGGGGCAGGGTCTGATAGAGGCTCACTGCTCCATCTCTACTCTGGGTGTAGGACTCATTGAAACCGGTGTTCACAGTCACCAACCTGCCGGGTACCACCTCCACCATCCAAACAGCACCCAGCACCTCTACCACCATGCAAGTCAGCAGCGGCCCCTCCTTCCCTATCACCAACTACCTGGCACCAGTGTCTGCTAGTGTCAGCCCCAGTGCTGTCAGCAGTGCCAATGGGACTGTGCTGAAGAGTACAGGCAGTGGCCCTGTCTCCTCTGGGGGCCTCATGCAGCTGCCTACCAGCTTCACCCTCATGCCTGGTGAGTCACAAGGGGCAAATTGAGCGTGGGAAGAGTGGGTTTAGGGCTGGCACAAGGAGAACCTCGTTCCCTGCTCAGAATGAGGGTGAACAGGGGACCAGGGTCTGAGAGAAGCCTATTATGTCCCATTGGCAAGCATACTCCTCCCCACTGCTGGAACCCCTATTGTCCTTGTCAGTAAGTTTCAACCATATGCTCTGGCCTTGTCTAGCCAGTCCAGCTCTGTGCACCTTCCCCCCCCCCATTGCCACAGGGATAATAGACATTCTGTCATTTCCCTACCTTGACTGGAGGGCAGATCATGTCTTTGATGGGCCAATGCCAGCTCCCTGAAGAGGACGGAGGCAAGGCCTGGGATGGGAGGAGGAGGGAAGGGCAATAGCAGAGTATAGAAGCCCCTGGAGACCAAGATTCAGGACAGGAAGGGCCTTTTTGGCTCCCAGGAAAAATAGCGATGGGAATTGGGGAGCAGTGTGCCAGACCCTGGGCATATGGGTGTTTGAGGGTGCTTGGTGCAGGTGGTGGCTGGGTAAGACAGAGCACGAGTAAGTCTCTGTGTCTCATAGGTGGGGCAGTGGCCCAGCAAGTTCCAGTGCAGGCCATTCAGGTGCACCAGGCCCCACAGCAAGCGTCTCCCTCTCGCGACAGCAGCACAGACCTCACGCAGACCTCCTCCAGCGGGACAGGTATAGCTTGAAGCTCTGTTACCTCTTAATGTGGATACTGAGGCTTTTGGCTTAACCCTTATCTTAATCCTTAAGAAAAGATCAGGTGGGGGTGGCTGGGTTTTTTATTTTGCCCTGCAATAGGGCTGTGTATATAAGGAAGAAATTAGGGACCATAAAAGCCACCCTCCTCCTCATTCAGATGAGAAGCCTGAGGCCCAGAAAGAAGTTATTTGCCCAAAGACTCACATTTGCTTAATTACCAGGAAGGATTTATAGAGCAGTTATCTCCTTGTGGGAGGGTATCCTAGGTTTAGAGTAGCCATAATTCTCCTCAGTGTCTCTAGTCATTTCAGAAATGAGACACTTTCAAAATAAAGTTACTTTTAAGTCCTTGTTATACAAAGTGTGATCTGTGGAGGACCAGCATCATCCTGGAAGAGGGAGGAGGAGTGAGAATAAAAATGGGATAATGGAGCTTCCTAAAAGGGGAGGAGTATCTGAATTTCCTTAGGTTTGGTCAGTCACTGTAATCTTTGTTTTTCCCAGGGCCTTAGGGTGTTGGAATAGAGAGCTCAGCAGATAGACAATTGAATAGTATAATGTGATAGGATACAATTAAAGGCTGGTGCTGTTGTGTTCAAGAAAAAATAAGGCTTTTCTTAGTTGATGACAGGGAGCAGAGGAATGGATCTTGTCTAGATTCTGACCTGGGAATGGCAAGAGGGTTCTGGCAGCTTGGAATTCCTGGGGGTGGGATGGGAGATATCAGTAGGGACCAATATCAGCCTCACTGACATGTGTCTGTATTTGCCAGTGACATTGCCCGCCACCATCATGACGTCATCTGTGCCCACAACTGTGGGTGGCCACATGATGTACCCTAGCCCCCATGCGGTGATGTATGCACCCACCTCGGGCCTGGCTGATGGCGGCCTCACCGTGCTCAATGCCTTCTCCCAGGCGCCATCCACCATGCAGGTGTCCCATAGCCAGGTCCAGGAGCAAGGTGAGTTGGGGGACAGGGCTGAGAAAACTAGGACCATTACCTCCCTTACACACATACACACACACACACACATTCACACACTAAATGCAGGCTCCCTCCCACCCAATATATATGCCCACACATACACAAACTAGAATGCCCACGTTTCTACACATATATACACACTGATATTTGTACACACACCCTGGCACCCAGGCCTGTCCACTTGGACAGTCATGCACACTTGAACACTCACACTCACACCCACACTTGGACACAGTTGGACACTCACCCTAGGGCACTCACCCAGTCATTTGTGCATTTATCAGCACTGCTCCAATAACTGGAAGTTTCTCTTGAGCAATTTGAGTATCTCCTGTTTTTCAATGCAGGTGGTGTCCCCCAGGTGTTCCTGACAGCGCCATCTGGGACAGTGCAGATCCCTGTTTCTGCAGTTCAGCTTCACCAGGTAGGTGGGAACCCCTTTCACCCCACCCCAGACAGCCAGCTACTTTATCTTGACCTTGGGGATTCCATTACCAGATGGTCACAACTAAGATCCCTAGCCAGGAGGCCTATCTGTTTTCCTGGTCAGACCTGTGGTGGGCAGGCAGGCAGGCAAACAGAAGAAGCCTGAGCTGGCTGATCAGTTCCTGCCCCCATTTCCTTACACACCCACTTCCCTCCAGATGGCTGTGATAGGGCAGCAGGCCGGGAGCAGCAGCAACCTCACCGAGTTACAGGTGGTGAACCTGGACGCCGCCCACAGCACCAAGAGTGACTGATCCGCCCTGCCGCCCTGGACAGATGGCCCAAGGGACGGCACCACTTATTTATTGTTGCCTTTTCACGTTTTCTTTACACACATGTTGACGGGCCGCAGGAGGGAGGCGGGGAGGAGCAGTGGGCAGCCACAGGACTGAGCCCTCTCACTCCAGCCAAAGAAATGGGCCAGCCTACCCTCCACCCTATCCTCCCTCACTCTCCCCTCCTTCTGGTTCCACCTCTTATTTCTGTTGATGGTGGGGCTGCCCTCCCTCAGACTTCCCTTGCCAGCTTGGCTCCATGTTTGCCATGAGTATTAGCTTTCCCAATGGGACCGTGCCCCACCTTCCCACAACAGATCTCTGTGGGACGAGGCACCATGTCCCCCCACCCCCAACCCCACCCAGAGGAAGCAGTTGGGGTCCTCTGCCCAGCCTCCATGCTGACCCCACGTCAGCACTGTGTCTGCCACAGGCTGGGTCAATAGAGCCCTCCCTCTGCCCCTCAGGGAGCCAGCTGGGGTGATGGGGCTTCTTCCCTCATGCTGCCCGCCTACAGCCCCTACAGCTCGGAGTAGCTGGGCCTGTGCAGGGAGCAGGTTCCTGGGACCGCCTGCCCTGCCTTGCCGCTCCTTTGGGAACTCCAGGGGCTCCTGGGTTGGAGGGAACCATCATTGTTCCCTCTCCCCATCTCCCCCCACCCCCCTTCTCCCAGCTGCTTTACTTAAAGTTGATTTTGAACTTTTTATTTGAGGAGACGAAGTGAAAACAAATCTATAAATATATATTTTTAAAATATTTAACTTTTTTTTATGGCGTTTTTCTCATCCCCCTCCCTGCCCAAGCTCCCCTTCCCTGGGGAGCCCTGGGGCTCCCCAGAACTGGCTGGGCCTCTGGGGACAGAGCCACCCCCTGAGCTTGGGGCCCACCAGTGTGTGGGGGAGATTCTGGGATTGCCGGGTCCTGGGTTGTTTCCAGGAGAAAACCGGGGGAGGGGCCCTCAGGCCATGCCACAATGGGATGGGGAGGGTGACCCACAGCTCTGGGCCTCTTTTTGCCCTTAGGGCTGTTGCTAGGGAGAGGGAAGAGGGAGACCAAATGTGGGGGGTCAGGTAGAGGAAACTGACTTCATTTGTGCCACACACATGGGCATTGCAGCCTTGTGCTCCCCAGGCCTGCAGTTGCCTGGGGCCCAAGTTGCAGTGAGCAGGGTGGGATCTGGGAGGGGGTGAGAGGCAGGAAAGGGGGTCAGAAAAAATGGGAGCAGCTCTTGGGCTGAGTGCAGTGATAGGGGAGCCAGAAGTGGGCAGCTCTCCCAGGGAGTGAGCAGCTACTGTAACTTTTTAAAATTAAGACAAAAAGCCTTGAAGAAAATGACTTTATTTTTCTAAGTGTAACCTCAGTATTTATGTAATTTGTACAGGGGCCTTGCCCCACCCCCCTGTACCCCCTTTGGGGTAGACCTTCAGGGTGGGCCAGCACAGGGAGGGTCTTTTACCCTGTGTCAGAGCCCACCTTCACCACCAATATCCAGAAAGGAAGCTTTTTCAGAACAGGGCAGTAGTTAGGGTGGAGTTTTATTAACCCTATGACTGCCTTCAGTAGGAACAAGCTTGCTTCTGTGATTAGGTGAAGGGGTGGGGGGAGATTTTACGCACAGCCTAGTTATCAAGGGGATGATTTGCCGACATTTTTTGAGTACCCCCTAACCTCTAACCCCCATTGCTGTCTTGCCCCAATTTTGGGTGCCAAGATGGAAGTCACCTTTCTGGGCTTTCTCCTGGAGAGAGCTGGGGCTTATGGGTGGCTTACAAGGCTGGGGCATGGCAAATCAGGGGCCAGAGAGTGGGGGGGCTTGGGACTCAGGTCTGTAACTGCCCAGCCCTTTTCTCTGCTCTTGTTTCACTCCACCCTCACTCACTCACTCCCCAACTCCCCCACCCAGGGGAGGAGACCTTGATGAATTCCTCCTCTCCTTCCCACAAAAGACAGACCCAGTGAGTGAATCAGGCAAAGTGCTTATAATGTGTGTTGTGTGAGCATGGCCTTGGGAGAACATGTGTGCATCAGGGATAAGGTGGCATTTATATGTGCAGCAACCCTTGGTGTTTCCCTTCCTTGGTGGCTCTGGGGTGTGTACGTGTGTGTGTGCCCTTGAGTGAATGTGTGTGTGTGTGAATGTGGGGTGTGTATGTCAGTGGTTTCTACTTCCCCTGGGATGCTGACCCAGGAATAGTGGACATGGTCACAGTCCTATGTACAGAGCTTTCTTTTGTATTAAAAAAAAAATACTCTTTCAATAAATGTATCATTTTTGTGCACAGACTGTGGGGTCTTTGCCTCTGTTTTTCCATCTAGGGAGGGATGGGGATATGAACACAAATTAAACCCCAAAAGTTGCTGCTCTGAGAAGGAAGCTTGGCTGCTTGATGAAAACAACGGCAATACTAAGGGGTGCTTTCTGCTTTGAAAGTCTGTACTATTTAACTTAAGGAACATTTCACAGGGCTGAGGACTTTACGTGCATCGCTTTGCTAGGTGCTTAGGGCAACAGAGAGAGAAGCAATTTTAATTAATAGAAACTGACTCAACCAATCCCAAGCATTGCTGAGAGGTTTGGGAAACTGGGCCTCGTGACCTAGTGAACCTCAAAGGACAGCCCTACCGTGGAGGGTGGGTTTCAGGGGGACGAGAAAGGCAGATCCAGTGAAGGGGAAGGGGAGGGTCCTCAAAGTTGATTGTGGATGGAAAGGGCTGTCTACTGCTGCAAAGACATGGAACAACGTGACCGCCATCGCGGGCTCAACCTACCGCGCTCCCCGCTGCAGCGGCGCCTAGGTACCACGCATGCTCCACTTGCGCGGGGTTCTGCGGCGCAGGACTGTGGGCCGCGAAGGGACCCGTAGACGCCCAGCAGGGCGTGCACTCGCCGTGTGACCCGGAAGCGAGCTGCTGAGGGGGTGGGGCCAGACGGCGGACGGCCGCGGGGTTCCAGCGAGGGCCGAGCCGGGCAGAGGGAGGTGAGAGGAGAGTTCTGCGTGGGCCTGATCCTTGCCCTGTCCTCCCCCGTCCCTTACCCACTTTTTGTGGGGCTGACGACGGGAGCCAGGTCTTGCTCCCTGAGATTCACTTGGTTCTGTCAACCTCCTCGGACCGCATCCCTCCCCCAACCCCTCGCTCACCCCAACCCCCAAACCTGTTCCCACCGGGGTTCTGGCCTCCTGCACCGCCCCTGCGGGTCTGCAAGCTTGGGCCTCACCTCGCTACCTGCACCTATCGGCTGTCTCATCCCCGCGTCTAGACCTCACCTTCACACCTCAGTTTATTGCTCCTTATGGTTACCCCATCCTCCCAAATTTAGGCTTATCCAATTGTTTCACTTCTCCACCTTGCTCCTCAGTTGTTCATCACCACGTCACTGGTTACCTCCCAGTCTTGCCCCGCCCCCTGGTAACTAGACCCCTGCTTCCAGGGAGGGCCACATCCTGTATTTCCTCTCCTCTTCACACTTTGTTTCTACTCTCATTTTCTATCCCTGTACCCTAACGTGACCACTGTCCTGATTACCATTTCTTCATCTGGGTTTACCTTCCATTCCTATTCTTGCCATTCCCCGCTGCCCCCACACTACTTTATATCACACCTATCTTTTACTGATTGCTAGCATAGCCATCACCCTGCTCCCCGTTATAATCTGTTCCATTTATCTGAGGACTGCCCCTACTTTTCCATCTAAGAATAATAATATTAGATCATGTTTACTGAGCAACCTCCTGTGCTAGAGGCTGTTCTAAGTGATTTTCAGTTTTTCCTTCGTGAGTTGGGTATGAATATTATTACCATCTTGCAGAGGAGGAAACTGAGGCTCAGAGGTTAAGTAACTTGTCCAGAACTACACACATAGTAAGTTAACGAGCCAGAATTCAGAGTCACTGAATTCTGGAAATCTGCATTATATTGCCTCTGTAATACCTCCACCACCTCCTGACCTCATGCCCTACCCTTCAACTCCATGATTACCACCTCCAGCTATACCTGATTTAGACCCTCACCATCCATGTATGATAGATGGGAGATGGGGTCTGGTCTTTTCCTCCCATTATTTTATCTGGTTCCCTAAACCCCTCCTCCTTTCACAATACTCTCATACTTTTCCCATCCAGCCATCTGGATGTGGGGGTCCGCAGTCCAGCCTCCTTTCATCTCTCTTCTCTGTATCTCCCATGGCCCATAGCCCACTCCTTTATATCCACATTCCAGCTTTACTCTGTCATTTATACCCCCTGGCTTGTCCCTCCCCCACCCTGACTTTCCTTACTTGTTCTGGCTCCACTGACTCCCATACTGCTGTCCTTCCTGCTCATTTGTGTCATTCTTCTGAGTCCTGATCTGTATCCCTCAGACACCCTGCTGTTCTGCCCAGGCTGTCCTGCTTACCAGTCAACTCTTTTTGTTGACATGCCTGCTCTCATCTCATAACCTCTTCCATTTCTTAGACCACTTCGTTTCATCCTCAGCTGTTTTCACTCTATTCTCCATCTCTTATAAATCCTAAAGTATGTTCAAGTTATTTATTTCATCCTATTCTTGGCCCTTCTACTTGGCCCCTAAATTCCATCATGCACCCTACCAGTCACCACCCACCCTATGTGTGTCTCAAGATCCCACCCCCTCCATGTAGTCTTTTCCCTATCTATATTGCCTTTATCTTTCTGTTTGTGTGTCCCAGGTCAGGATGGTGGGGGAACGGCGCACTGGGGACCTCATGGTGCCCTTGGGGCCCCTGCTGCAGGCATTTCCTGAAGAACTTATTCGACAGCGTCCTGGGCACGATGGGCGTCCTGAATACCTGATTCGATGGCGTGTCCTGAAGTGTGGGGAAGTGGGTAAAGTGGGTGTAGAAGAGGGCAAGGCAGAGCACATCCTCATGTGGCTGTCAGCCCCTGAGGTCTACGCCAACTGCCCCATGCTGTTAGGTGAATGGGCGCTATCTAAGGGACCTCAGCACGAACCAGCTGGGGGTTCAGGAAGCTTTCCCCGAGATCCAGGAAGCCTGGATGAAGTGGCAATGGGAGAAATGGAGGCTGATGTACGGGCGCTAGTGCGGAGGGCTGCCAGGCAGTTGGCAGAAGGTGGGACCTCGAGCCTCACAGCTGCTGTGCTGCCCACCATCCACGTGCTCAGTGCCTATGCCAGCATTGGGCCCCTCACTGGGGTCTTCAGGGAGACGGGAGCCCTGGACCTGCTCATGCACATGTTGTGCAACCCTGAGCCTCAGATCCGTCGGAGTGCGGGCAAGTTGCTGCAGGCTCTGGCAGCCCACGATACTGGTAAGAGACAGCCGGGGAGGAAGGCAAGCACTGGAGAGAATGGGGCCATAAGGAATAAGAACAGAAAGAGGAAGGATTTTCCAACTCTGTAATACCAATTCAGTGCAAAGGAAAAATATAGATTAATAGGCTATTACTTATTAATCTATACAGGATAAAATAATAGGATCTGGTTTGTCTGTCCATTCTCAGTGCAGTAAGAGAGAATAGGGTAGGGTTATATTTTTAAACTGTGGGTTGAGATTCATCAGTTGGTTGTAAAACCAGTTTGGTGAGTTATAACCAACATTTTTAAAAAATATAAAATATTAGTATTAGCACTTAAGTTTTATAGCATGAAATACATGTTTCAATTATATATGTATACATCTACATCAGGCTGCCATGTAAAATGTATATCTTACTGTGAGTCTTAGTCACGAAGTAAAAGCCTTGGGTAGGGGATGGAGAGTCTAGGACAGGCAGAGGGAAAGTATTGGGGATTGAGGAGAAGATACGGATTGGGTGTGGATTACAGGGAGTCGGGCTCACGTCCTTCTGTCACTGAGCCAGCAAGATGGCATCGAGCAGCACATGGATTTTGACAGCCGCTATACTTTGCTGGAGCTGTTTGCAGAGACCACGTCCTCTGAGGAGCACTGCATGGCCTTTGAGGGCATCCATCTGCCTCAGGTACTCTGGTGGCTGTGGGGCAAATGCTGTTCTAGGCCTTGGGCATCATTTCTGAAAATGTAGTTCAGGACTGCCTCAGCACCACAGCCACCTGGGGAGGTTGTTAAAATGAAGGTTCATGCCCCCCTCCCCACTCAGAACTTCTGAGATTAGAACCCAGGAATCTGCGTTTTAAGACATTCCTTGTGTGTTTCTTATATAAATCACAGTTTGAGAACTACAGGTATGTGGATGAGACCTTTATATTTTTCTGTAGAGGATAATTTTGAGGGGAAAGGAGAGGGGCTAAAGCTGGGAGATGAACCTACACCACAGACTGTGTCCTACAGATCCCAGGAAAACTGCTCTTCTCCCTGGTGAAACGCTACCTATGTGTCACTTCCTTGCTGGATCAGCTGAATAACAATCCAGAGCCAGGGGCTGGAGACCGAGGCTCCCTATCCCCAAGGAAGGAGTTCGCCTGGGAGAAAAGCCGGGGGCAGCGGGAGCTGGAATTCAGTATGGCTGTGGGCAGCCTCATCTCAGAGCTGGTGCGGAGCATGGGCTGGGCCCAGAACCTCGGCGAAAGGGGCATGTCGCCTTCCCGGCCATCCCGGTCCATCTTTCAGCCCTGCGTTTCAGGCCCCAGCCGTTTACTCCCCACCATTGTTGCCACCCCCAGAAAGCAAGAGCGGGCCTTCCGCCAGCGTTACGAATTCTCTAGCCGTAGTGGCTATGGTGAATACGTGCAGCAGACACTGGTGCCAGGGATGCGAGTGCGGATGCTGGATGATTACCAGGAGGTCAGCGCTGGGGATGAGGGCGAGTTCCGGCAGAGCAACAATGGTGTGCCCCCTGTGCAGGTGAGCGAGCGCATGGTGGTTGGTGGGACACTGTTGGGGATCTTTTTGGGTGGCGCATAGCTGGGGCTTCCATGCAGGGGACTCTGGCCGGCCACCCAAGGAGAAAACTCCCAAGGGAACTAGACTGGTTAAAGGGGAATCAGCAGTTGAAGGGGGCGTATTTGGGAGGCTGAGAAAATCTGGCGGGAGTAGGTGGGCTGCGAAGTCAAGGAGAAACTCACACTCAGAAAGCAGAACCCGATATATAGAGATACTCCTGCCCCCTGTTGGTGGAGTTGGCTGGGAGGGAGTGTAGAAGCAGAAGCCATCAGGGTTAGGAAGAGATGAGAGGCAGGGCCTTCCCTGACTTGGGAGGGGAGCCTTTTGCTATATGGAAGTTTTCTCAGGCCTGGCCAGGTGTGCATCTGAGGGCTGTGTGCCCTAGGTCTTGGCCCAGCCTGGTCTCTCAAGCCTGCACAACCTGAGCTCAGATGGTGCACCC